CTCTCGCTCACAGTTAAAGAATTAACATCTGCTAAGGGCCCCTTGTCAATGAGCCCTTAACAGCGATCAGATTAGGCTGCAAAGGAAGAGATATTAATATGATCTGAACTATGGGAGGGAAGACAGCCTTTTATGCATACTAATAAAATTGGCATTCTTGTCTGAGCATGAAGCTGAAAGAGTTTATATCTGCATCTTGTTTACTTAGATCAGATTATGTTTGGCTGGTGAATCCAGTTCTGATTTCCTTTGCAATAACGTGGCTGAAGGGTTACACCCTGGAAAACAGTGGAAATACTCTGGATTTGTAGAACATTTGTATGATCCAGGCTAAAACTTGGCCTGAGCCTTTCTCTTAAAACACTGATGATATAAGGCCAGCATTTAGAGGTTTCTGCCTATGCTAAACAAACTGCTGCTGTGAAACAATTAATTCACTAAATTAAGCATGGGGAAAGTCTTTAGTGACCCCTCTGCGTGCAGCTGATCTGAAATTATTCCCTGACACGGAAGGAGTTTCTTGTCCCCTTCGTAGTGTTGCAAATCTGACCCCTCAAATTGACAGATGCTTGAAGCTTGCTGGAAACCCGGGTTGGTTGTACTGAGGTTTCCTCCTCCTTCCCGCTTCTCGCCCATACTGGATGGGCCCCACGACGGGGGGACAGCCTGGCCCTAGGTGTTGAATGGTGAGAGCTCCTGAAAGCAGTGCCAGCCTGCGGGTGGGTTTCTGAACAGGACGCAGTGAGTGCCTGGGGATGCCGGGGCAGAAGGCGGGCGCCCACCATCTGCCTCTTTTCCTTTGTTCCCTACCGAGGAGGGGCTCAGTTATTTTGTTTGGCTCCTGGATCCTTGCAGAGAAGTCATTGCTTTCCTGGCTGCTGAAAGGGTGGTTCTTCTTTGCATGAGGCCAGACTACAGCCAGGCTGCTCCAGCATGGGGCTCAGCTTGGCAAAGTCTCTGAGCATGTGCTGACCTGTGAACTCATGCTTACTTCCACCGAGAAAGCCTTTAAGACCAAACCCAGAGCATCAGTGCAGTGTTCCTGACCTCAGTACTGTGCCATGCAGCCTTCAACCTCTTTCCTCTACAGTTCCGTCCAGATCTGCCCTTTTCTTCCTATTCCCACCATTAGGCTGTTGATCCTCCAGCTCATGCCTGCTTCAGGGTGGAGGACTCAGATGCATCCAAAGCAGAGGATAACCATGCCTGGAGGTTTTGCAGTGTCAGGGATAGGTAGCGAGGAAGGGCAGAGACCTGCCAAGTCCCTGCTGAGGTTACTCTACCCATCAGTAGACCTGCCAAGTGCCATACGTGGCATATGACATCACCACTGCCGGCTCTCACCGCCGTGGTGGCCTTCAGCTTGGGTGACTGCAGCATGGTGGCACCCTGCAGCCCCCCCATGCAGACCACTCTCCCAACGCCCTCCACCACCCCGGTCCCACCACCACAAACGGAAGCCCAGAGCCACTCTACTACAGAAGAAAGACGAAAGGCGTCTCCCAGAGCCAATTCAGCATCTCTCATTTCTCCACCAGCTCTGAGCTCTGGATCTTTGAAATGAACCCGGAGGCTTGGCAGCTTGCTTTCTGTGGTATCATAAATCTCCTCAAGATCAACATCATGGCAAGTTGTGATGAGGGAGGATTTTTGTCATAAGAGTTGAACTAGGCATCCAAGGAATGACTCATGATGATGAGGGCAGAAGAAATGCAAGAAGCCTGATTTTTCTTTTCAATAGGAACTGAAGCAGGTACAGCTTTGCTCCAAATTAGCACATGTGATTTATTAAAAAGAGGCTGTAAGCCCCTGAGTACTATGAGCTACTGCACGCTGCTGCCTTGAAACAGGGCTCGCAGGTGCCGTAACACTCGGCAGAAACACAGGTGGATCATCTCTGGTGCCATTTGGGGTCAGCCGCCATCTCCTGAGGCCTCCCCTGCGCTCTGCAAATTGCTCATCCAGGGGGACGGGCGGCAGTGACCGAGCTGCCAGCAACATGCAGAGACCCCACCGTCCTGCAAAACCCTGCAAGCCCTGACTCTGTGCCTGGAAATGCACATGTGGTGGTGAAATGTTTGAAAGTGGGCGAGAGTGGTATACAGACGGTGTGATACACAGTTGGGATCACAGGTTATAGTTGTTACATCACAGTTAAAAAACTCTAAAAAGTTAAAAAAGAAATCCAGTAGCACTCGCAGAATTTATGTTTGTGCTTTAAAGAAAACTGCAGCAACTGAGCTGCAATTAACTAATACCCTTCAGACCTGGACATTTCAGATGACTGCACATTTGAAACCACTGTTTCAAGTGAAATTACTGTTTCCATATGTCTGAAATTAGGTGCTACCAGAAGTGGGAGTAAAGCACAGCGTAACTCCAAACAGAACACAAAACTCTGATGTTTCTTTAGGTGAGATACATGTTGCTATTGGCAGTTACAAGTAATTGCTGGAATGTAGCACACTGTAATAAATTAAATGTGATGTTTGCTAAGCATGCAGGCTTGCCATCTGGTCACCAGAGAGCTGCTGTTATTACTTTGCAGGTAAAAAGTGGTGTTTAAGTGCAGGGAACTGAAGTGTGCCATATAAATAAAATCTTATAAGCTCCAGCCCCTTGGACTCAACATTTGTTTAAAACCTGGAATAATTAAATGATCTTGACTTTTATAGCTTCTTTGCAATAACACAAACTAAAGCGATGCCAAAAGAAGAGATCCCGCAGGAGCAAGTTCGGTAAATAGCCTGTTTTTGCAGCGTGCTACCGCAGATGCATCAAACACCACCAAATTCCTTTCCTTCTTGAGATTGGCATTGGTTTCTACACACAAGACCTCGATCCTACTGTCCCCCACGCGTTGCCCCAACCTGTAGAGGAGCCGGCCCGAGGTCAGGATTTGCACAGGTTCTTGCCAGGCACAGCCCCCGTCCTGGTGTGCAGGTACATCACTGTAGTGACCACAGTGAAAACTGCGCCGGGGGCTAGCTACGTGGGACCCAGCACAAACGAGGCAACTGCTGCCCTGAATGACGCCCTGGGTTTCTTATCCCTGAGAACGATCCCTGGGAAAGCTCAAAAAGGAGCGTGCAAGTCAGAGTATCCCAGACACGTCCCACTGGCTGGCCCGAGAGCTATAGATTTCAGTCCCTGCACTGTATCACAGGCTGGCGTAACCTGATGTTTCAGGTGGTGGGACACAGAGGCTGGCAGAAGTGCTGAGGGACTGGAAAATTCCCAGTGGGGTACATCCATCATTTCTTTTGTAGGTCCCACTTTGTAGTTAGCCCCGATTCAAAACCACAGAATGGTTTGGGTTGGAAGGGACCTTCAAAGATCATCTAGTCCAACCCCCCTACCATGGGCAGGGACATCTTCCACTAGATCAGGTTGCTCAGAGCCCCGTCCAACCTGACCTTGAACACTTCCAGTGATGGGGCATCCACAGATTCTCTGGGCAACCTGTTCCAGTGTCTCACCACCCTCATCATAAAAAATGTCTCCCTTATACCCAATCTAAATCAATTTCAGTTTAAAACCATTGCCCCTTGTCCTGTCACAACAGGCCCTGGTGAAAAGTCTTTCTCCATCTTTCTTATAAGCTCCTGTATATATTTCACTGTGAAAGGAAGTTCAGGCAGCTTTTTGGGGGCACGAGCAAAGGGAGGCAGGAGAAGAGAGGAAGATAGCAGTTTCTTTCACCAGCCATCTGATTTAAACGCTTTGCTGGGCTAATGAAATAACCATCCTGGGTCTGTGTGGCAGGTCTGGAGATCCTTGTTTCTGAGCTGATGAGAGCACGGAGCAGCTTCTCCTAGAGCAGGACATCGGCTGCCTCCCAAGACACAGCTAAGAGATGCACTTCGGTGAACAAACAGTTCTTGGTATTTCTGCAGAGAGTGGCTTCCTAGCCAGAGCATGGCTAGAGGTGACCCCAAATGACTGCAAAGGGGTCTGAACAGGTGATTTTTCTCAGACATTAATGCTGGTCTCCAAGAACCAAGCTTTCACCTCAAAACATGTTATCAGCAGAATCTAAAATTATAAAACCTCATTCACTAATGAAATTTGCTCCTTTCTCTGTGTTAGGTCAGAGGGCAATTTAAAGCTTGATTAAACTTTCAGACCAGCTCATTAAATGAGGCCACTAGAGGGAGCAGCCTTTAAAGTCCAGCGCTGGTCACTGGGGACGCCTCCCCACCAGTGGGAACCCTGGAGGGCAGCCCTGCAGCCGTGGCTCCCAGGGGAGGGTCTCCAGCGCCGCGGGACAGGCTTAGGCACCAAAGGGAAGAGTATGGTTGGTAGCACCTGCAAGTGCATGATTTATTATCTGCTGTTTCTGATATTGAAAATAACCTGATTTTTCAAATCTATTTTTCCTTTTAGCAAACGTGATGTTTTTCTTCATTTTTTTCCATGCTCTTTTCACATGAGAGTAAGTGTGCACAGAAAAAAAAAAAAAGATGAAGTATAAGGTTTCTTAATTACCTGGCTAATCTGGCTTATGGGAACCATACTCCAATGTGGCCAGTAGCTATTTTGACACTCTTACTTCTCAGTGAGGGTGTTTGCTATTTAAAGTGAATCTGGTGACCATTAATTCTAACATAGTTGCATTTTGGTCAAAGTCGGACCGATTTGCAACACCCCGAAACCACACAACTGCAAGGACTGGAGAAGACTGTCAAGAGCGATGTTCCCTTTGGCTTTCCCAAGGAATTGGCAGCATCTGCCTTCTTTGCAGTTGTGCGGGGGGGTTTCACTGGGTGAGGGGAGAGGATTTTTTTGGGAAAGAGGGGGATTACGAGCTCAGCAAAGCGAGGGGCAGGGCAGTGCCTACATCACCTCAGAATGAATTACATTAGTTTACCCTGTGAAATAAATTCGATGACAACGGATGCCAGCGCAGTAAAATAAGAAGCGTAAAAGCCGGAGCGGAGATTGCAGAGGGAAAGGGGGCTGGGGCGAGGGCTTTCTCTTCCCGACCGTGGCAGACCTACCTCTCCTCCGGTGCAGGGGAAGGGACTCGAATATCTGGAAGTGCAAATGGCTCCTCTCTGACTCACGTCATCCTCCAGCCCGAAGGTGGCCGAGCAGTTAGCAGCAAAGTATTTGTAAGGCATCCACGTCTCGCCGAAGTCCTGGGAGCGCTCCAGCACCATGGCAGCTGGCCTGGGTGACTTGAAGACCAAAATCAAGTGAGTGAAGTAGAAGGTGGCTTCCAGGTCCAGCCGGATGGTCTCGCTGGGGGCGTCCTGGGCCGCCTGCCACCAGGTGCGGGGCAGGCGAAAGGGGGAGTCAGCCATGGCAGCAGGGGGGTGGGCCAGCCCCGCGTGGGCCCCGCTGCACCGGCCACAGGTGGGGCGCTTGCAGCGGTGCTGAGCGTCCTCAGTGTAGGCACAGAAGGGCTCAGCAGCATGGCGCCCACAGGCCGTCTCCGTCTGCAGCGCCCGCCCGTGCGCCAGGTTGCCCATCCGGGGGTTGCAGGCCTTTTCGCAGGGGCTGCCCGCTCCCGTCGCGCTGCCCAGACCTGCAAGGCAGAGAGTGGGAGACTGAAGCCAGCTCCCGAGGTGGCCGCACCCTACCCCGGTGGGAGCAGATGAGCCCTGCGGCATGCTTTTCGGGGACGCTGCCCCCGCCGAGACCATGTGCTGCCAGTACCGCCGTCCCCAGGAGGGGCTGAGGGAGAACGTGGCACTGTTGCTGATCTCTCCCCTCTGTGGAGCTCAGTGCGTCTTTAACAGCAAAACACACCTGCGGCATGCTTTTCGGGGACGCTGCCCCCGCCGAGACCATGTGCTGCCAGTACCGCCGTCCCCAGGAGGGGCTGAGGGAGAACGTGGCACTGTTGCTGATCTCTCCCCTCTGTGGAGCTCAGTGTGTCTTTAACAGCAAAACAAACCAAAAACCCCTCAGGGCTTCCCTGCTTGGGAAAATCCCTACCAAGAGTTGCAGAGCAGAGCAGGCAGCACGGGAGAAGGGATGCCTCCGCCTCGCCCTCCTGCCCCGAGGGACCCGGAACAAGGCTGAGGCTTCCGGGGGCAGTGACCATGGCCATGCCACCCCTACCCAGAGGCCTCCAAGGGGATCCAGGTGATCCTGGGGAAGGGAAGAAAAGCACAAGAAAGAGGGGCTGCCGGCGACACCGGGGCAGCCAAGGCGGCATGCCGGCAGGAGGCCAGGAGACGGCCGCGGGGGACAGCATTGCTGCGCCCCAGCTCACCGTGCGGCAGATCGGGTGTCCGGGGTGTGAGAGCTGGTAGGAATATCTCCTGCCACCAATGACCTCAAACCTTCACCCCCTTTCCCATCCCTACCCCAAATCTCCCCACAGTCCCAAACTGCTGCCGAGGTCAGGGTTGAATCGAAGCACTGCTTAAGTTTGAGAAAGCTGTCACTGATGTGTGTAAAGGGGGAAAAAAAATAAATAATCCTTGGTTGAAATGATGCTGGCAAGCTGCCTCACAGCTGAGGCTCTGTGGTTTTTGTCCAAGTTTCTCTGGAAGCCTTGTCGATTTAAAAATCCACAGCTAAAGTGTCAAAGAAAAATAAAATCACCATGGGGTTTGGTGTGAAACCATCTGCAATGTAACCCTCCTGGTGCAGGAATGTTTGATTAGGGGCTCTCCACCTCTTTATTAATAAATGTAACAGTAGATCAAGGCTGTATTTGATGAACCATAACTGTTTAACATAAAAAAAGCTCTGATGACTTGGATGTGGGCAGGCCAAACCATCTGAGGTGCATAATGTCTTCTTTATCGCTGGGCCAGTCATACATAGTCAGCTTTGTGCACCAATTATTATGGCTTCTTCTTGGCATTTTTATGTCCAAAGGTCGTTTCAGTTTAGCATCCAATAAATCCTTTATTTGGGGGTTTATTCAGCTTTTGTCTACAGTGTCATAGTCGCAATTAAGCTATATTGCGCACTAGCAGAGGCTAAGCCTTCAGAGCCTGACAGCGTTCCGCACTCCTTCTGCTCTTCAAGAAACACCCTGGAAAGAAAACATTTCTACCACCAAAGGTCTATAGGGGTTTTCTATACCGATTATTCAGAACAGACACGGACTGCTGCTTGTCATGTACCCATTACAAAGCACTTCTGAATCCAGTCTCTGGATTTCACTGGGTAAGCAGTCTTGGGAAATTTTTAGTGAACAAGAAATGCTCAGTCAAGTTAGCTTCCTACAGGGACCTGGTAAAACTGTGTCTGAGGTGACCTATATTAACTGTGCAGAATACATTTACTCTAGAAAAGTAAACAAATATAACTGTAAAATTAATGTAATATCACTTACATCTCCTGAACATCGGTTTCAAAGCGTTGTATAAACATTAACTAACCTACGCAGCTCTCCTGAGGGGGAGGTAAGTAAGTGCTATTATCATATTGTCAGTTAGGCTCACCACAAGTTGGCCTAATTTATGTCTTTGGCTGCTTCCCTGGATTCTTTGGCTACACGTAACACAGTGCAGTTAGCCGCTGAACAAATAGATGAACATTTACTGTGGTTCCCTCAGTTGCGGAATTGCAAGGCAGGATTTCGGAAGAGGTAAATAGAGCAGGGCTCAGTCAGCACCCTGAGACAGGTCGAGATTATTGTTTATGTTCATGAGTCCTTTTGGGTTTTTGCACACCATGGATTACTGCCTCCGGGGAGGCAGTGAAGGAGGACCTGATCGGTGGCAGGTGTCCCGGTGACTGTGGTGGTGGCAGGGCTTGGCGTAGCTGTCCCAGGGGCAGAGGCAAGGCTCTGCCTGAGCCCGGCCAGGAGGGGCTGGCTTCCAAATTCCCATGTGAGACCCTGGGAGCTGAGGGTATTCGATCGCTCCCAGCTCCTGGTATGCTCTGGCCCCGGTCATGCACGGTCACTGACTGCAGCTGTCTTCAGGCCAGGCATGGAGGGCCCGTTCCTCACCTGGGGCCAGATTTGGGGTCAGGGACCTTGGCTTCAGTAGGATTTGAGAAACGCTGCTGGCACGCAGACCCCACTTCCCATCTCAGGGGCGGGAAGGGGGGAGAGGAAACCCCCTTTGAAAGGGTGTTTGTTTTCACTTGAATTGGAAAGAGTTGCATGACGGATGCAGAGCACCGCATGTTACGAAAAGTGACAGCTTTCTAGTGTAACGCTGGCTGCCGCAGGAATTCAGTAAAAGGACAAATGAGAGCATAAAGATTTCCATGCCGTCAGCCCCAAGCTCACGACTGCTCTGCCACAGCCCTGGAAAAGTTGCTTTTCCTTACTTGCACTTAATGAATCTGCCCAACTAAATACTCCCATTCTATATACTGTACATGTCACCGGACTGGGATCTTCACTAATGAGAAAGAGCATGCAGCGAATACATGACTCACCTGTAAAACATCCATGGAAAATCATATGCTTCCTGCCTAAGCATTTTAGCAACACTTGCCTTGTGATGTTTCATTTATATCTTGTGCCCGATTAAACGTTTGTTTCCCATCTGGGTTTTTTCTTCTTTTTAAAGAAGAAAATTGGCACTCGTCTTGCGACCGGCCGAGGAAGCGTTACGCAAACTGTTTATGCCCAATCGCCTCTGCTGCGGCGCGGCGGGACCCCGCTGCGGGCAGATCTGAGCGCAAAGTGTTTATGCCGCGGGAAGGGGCTTTGAGAGCCCTGCCC